GTTTGTCTCCGCCTCACTTTATTGTTCTACACACACACGCGGAGGAAAGAGACCAAACGACACTTGCTACTGTGCACTTTCGTAAAGGACCCTCGCAGTCACCACCCAGCACCACACACACACACCGCCCACACAACATGCCCCGGCAGCTGTTTTATTCCGCGGTGCTGCTCCTCTGCGTACTGTCGATGTGCGGCAGCGGCAGTGGGGCTGCTGAGGAGGCGGAGAGAAAGTCCAAAAATTCCATTTTTTGCTGGAAGGAAATCAAAGCTGAAGCTGTGGAGAGGCGTGTCTCGCTGCGCGCCCCTGTTCTGTTGAATGTGGGGAATGAATTATTTTTCATTGCTGAAGCGCACCACAAGAGTGGCGCTGGCGTTGATGTTGTTACCGGCATCGTATCTCACTCCCTCACTGTAACCGCTGGCGTTGCGGAAGAGGCGTTGGGTGGTGCTGGTCAGTGGAAGGCACAGAATTTGTGCAACTGCAGCACGGAGGAGAGGATGGCACATGTGAACCAACCAACGGCGGTTGTGAGTGGCAGTGATATTTACATGCTTCTGGGAAACTATAGCAGTTTGCCGTCTGAAGCGACGGAACCCGCCTGGAGGATTCTGCTGGTGAAAGGGAGTTTGACTACAGCTGAAAGTGCAAAGAAAACAGTTGAATGGGGTGATACCTACCTACTGAGCCGTATCTCTCCACTTGAAAAACACAAATCCCTGTCACGGCTGACTGGTGGCGGAGGGATCGGGTGTTGTGGTGAAGGGAAGTACGCTTGTCTTCCCGGTGCAGGCCACAAAGAAGGAGGAGAGGAAGGGGGAGGGTACCTCAGCCGGAAAGACCGTCTCGCTGATCATGCACTCCAGTGAGCCCACAGGAACATGGCAGCTGTCGGAGGGGATGTCCGACGAGGGCTGCGGTGATCCCTCCGTCGTTGCGTGGGAGAGCGGGAAACTTTTGATGATGACTTCGTGTGAGGAGGGCCACCGCAAGGTGTACGAGTCGAGCGATATGGGGAAGACGTGGACTGAGGCGCTTGGGACACTCTCGCGTGTGTGGGGCACCTCACTGAAGCGTCAAGGCGACGGCGTGCGAAGCGGCTTCATCACCGCAGCCATCGAGGACAAGAAGGTGATGCTCCTCACCACGCCGGTGTATTCGGAGGAGAAAAAGGAAGACGCTGCAAAACAAAAGGGCCGGCTGCATCTTTGGGTGACAGACAATGCCCGTGTGCATGACGTTGGGCCGGTATCCAGTGAAGAGCACGACGCTGCCGCCAGCTCCCTGCTGTACAGAAAGAAGAGTGAGAAGGAGGAGGAGTTGGTTTTGTTGTACGAGAAGAAGAATGATGGGGATGACTCATTCAGCCTTGTCTCTGTGCGCCTGACTGACAAGCTGCCGCGGATAAAAGAAGTGGTGAAAACTTGGAAAGAAATTGACGCTGCACTAAAAAGCTGCACATCCGGTGGCACTTTCGACCCGCGAGCGAAGGGTATGTGTAATGGCCCTATTCCCACGGAAGGGCTGGTTGGCTTTTTGTCCAACACATTAACGGATGGAACTGATGCTGGGAAAATATGGAAGGACGAGTACCTCGGCGTGAACGCAACGGTGAAGAATGGGGCGGCAGGCGAGCACGCGTGGGGCGTGAGGTTCAAAGGCGCAGCAGCGGGGGCGGAGTGGCCGGTGGGCAGCAAGGGGCAGAACCAGCCGTACTACTTTGCGAACAACGAGTTCACTCTTGTGGCGACGGTGGCGATCCACGCGGTGCCGGAAGACGGCGGC